TGTATATTAGACTGGGTAGAATTTATGTCATGCATTACACTTTAGATAGAATAATCCTTTCATTCACAGTTTTACTCAATTAAATATAATTGTTCTTTGACTAAGCATTGTTTTTGTCGGTTGGTGTTTGGGAAAGCGGCCTATCTGTGAAAAGGCAACTTTGGGGGCCCAGGCAAAATAGAATACACATATTCAGGCCGATGTCGAACTGGGAGAGTACACTCTCAGCTCTGTGCCCCCTGATGCCTGAGAAATTCTGCTGTGGTCAGAGAGAGCGGACATACTCAGGGTATCTGAGGATGGCGTTCACTGCCTCTCAAAGACATCCCTGGGCCCCTGATCTGCCATCTTCGGGCGGAGTGATGATTTCCCATTAGAGGTGGATTAAGGGCTTCTCTATACTCCAAATTACTTCCCCCTTAGAGCCCGTCACAAGTGTCTGAATTCTAGCCGTTGAGCCATTCTCTGTTTAGATTGGATGATACTTTATTCTCTGTTTCGGTCAGATGATGCTTTAGTGTAGCTATTCCCTGGTGGGGCTAAAGCATGGGTGCTGTCACATAAATTAGGAAGTTCATCATTTTATAGGAGCTTGAGGCTACAAGGCACTGGACAGGTAGATACACTTTGCTGGGAGTAGAGGAAGAGCAGGGGCACGTGGCTGATGCCAGGGAGGGTAGGCACAGTTTGGGGGTGATGACAGCAGTCCAATCCCTCTCCAGGAGAACCGAGGGTGGGGACAGGGAGTGAGGAGGAACCCAGACCTTCAGCTCTGACACAGGTGCCAAGATCCGTTTTTTTCAGGCCAAATGATATGAGGGTTGTTGAGGTAAAGGCAAATACCAAAATGGGAAACCAAAGGTCTGGGCCTTGGTCTGAGTCCCAGAGCTCCAAATCTGGGAGTAGGGAGCAAGGTGCAGGGTGAAGACCAATAGTCTCATGAGGAAGCAGCAGAAAGCTCAGAGATTCATTCAGCCTCCTCTGCTGGAGGGAGCACATTCCCGATGTTGCCTGGTCCTCACCCTGCCCTCGAACCCCGAGCCAGGGACCTGGGATCATTCCCTGGCTCATATTGACTCTCTGCTGTCAGGAAGTTCTGGCCCTGGCTTATGCTCTGCCCTCCCTTCCCATTCACTTGCCTTGGGTTTGAGCCAAACCGAATCATTTCCTCTTCCCCTACATGCATGTTCCCAGGGCCATCTCTTTGCTCTTCCTACACCCCCTCTACTTGGATGTCCTTCCCCATTGTCACCTGTTCCTGAATTCTGTTCCAAATCTAGCCCAATCTCCTAGTTATACTAGTTTTCTATTGCTGCTGTAATGAATTACTATGAATTTAGCAGCTTAAAACAACACAAATTTAGTTTCTTACAGTTCTGTAGGTCAGAAGTCCGACACAGGTTGTTACCAAATTAAAATGAAGGTGTCAGCAGGGCTGTGTTCCTTCTAGGGCTTCCAGAGGAGAATCTGATCTTTGCCCCTTCTCAGCTTCTAGAGGCTGCCCTCATTCCTTGACTCGTGGCCCCTTCCACCTTCAACCTCTCTGACCCTGCTTCCATTGTCACATCTCTTTCTCTGACCACAGCCAGAAAAGGTTTCCCTCTTTTAAGGACTCAGCAGATTAGATTTGGCTCATCTGGATAATCCAGGCTACTTTCCCCATCCCAACGACCTTCATTTAACTATATCTGCTAAATCCCTCTTGCCATGGAAGGTCACATAATCACAGGTTCCAGGGATTACGATGTGGGGGGCCACTCTTCTGCCTACCACACTGGCCCGGCTCACATAGCCCCTCCGCTACCTTCAAAGCCTCTTCTCTACCATTCTGGGCTCCTCTGGCCCTTGGTCTAGGCTCCCCACCGGCCTCTGCAGGTCTTCCCCACCATAGCTCTTACCACCCAGAATTGTGATTACTTGTTGATTTGTCATTTTCCTGCAATAAACTTCAAGGTCCATGAGAGCGGGGACAGGGTTGGTCTTGCTTACTGATATATCCCCAGCAATTAGCACGCTGCCTGGCACATAGTGCTCAAAAACATTTTGAGGGGGTAAACTCTTCTATGACACATCACTTTCTATTTTTTAAAAAAATTTTAATGTTTATTTTTGAGAGAGAGAGAGACAGACAGACACACACACACACACACACACACACACACACACACACATGCAGAGCGTGAGCAGGGGAGGAGCAGAGAGAGACGGAGGCACAGAATCTGAAGCAGGCTCCAGACTCCGAGCTGTCAGCAAAAAGCCTGATGTGGGGCTTGAATTTACAAACTGTGAGATCATGACCTGAGTCAAAGTCAGATGCTTAACTGACTGAGCCACCCAGACACCCCGGATCACTTTCTATTTTAAGTTACCTCCCAGTCATATGATTACTCCTGTACAAGACTACACACTTCTTGAAAGCAGGGTTCACATGTGGCTTGTTTGTTGTACCCCCTGGGGCACCTTGACAGTGCTCAGCTAATGTTTGTGGGATTGAATTGAATAAATAGGTTCAGACTCATCTCAATGGCCTGGCGCTTAAACACAGGACACACAGAGGATGGGTGGGAATGAGGGTCCTTGGGTCAGTTAGGGCTGGGAAAGGAACCTGGGAAAGGTTCTGGAAGAGAAGTACTTGTGGTAGATGTTTGAAAGAGATGAAGGATAAGGATTGGCAGTGCTGAGGGGGTGAGGACATCTTATGGGAGGACTGGTGTGAGCAAAGTCAAATATAGGAGACTGCTGGTGGTGTAACCAGAGATGAGTTACGGTGGGCGAAGGCAGACATGGCGGCCAGGGCTTGGATGCCGGATGGAACTGTCTGGATTTGATGTGACAGAATGGTACCAGGGTTTACTGAGCAATGAGCGATGTGCTGAAAGCAGGGTTGGAGAACAGAGGAAGGGAGTGTTATTTCAGGAACAGAGTGCTGGCTGCAGCGGGATGATAACTGCTCCACAGAGACATCTGGATAGACTGGATGTGGAGACAGGAGATAACGGAGTCAAGGATAATTTGACACCACAGTCTGGGACCTGAGAACGGCAGGAGGATGGAGGCCTGGCTTACATTAGATGAGCAAGATGGTGAACTCAGCATTGGGCACCTGCAGTGCTGCATGTCAGAGGGGCCTGCCTTGGGAGCGACTGAGACTCAGCCCCATTGCTTTTTCCCTGTGAAGTTCCCCCCTCCATATAAGAGATGAATTGGGAGAAGGAGGGTATTTTTTCCAGTGCCTGAATGGTCCCTTCTGCCCCCATGCGGCAGGCATGCTATTTCTGCCCCAGCCTACTCACCAAAGCAGACATTCTGACCCCGCCAGAATGAGCTAACATCTCCATTTATAGATTCTTCCCCGCTTTGTGCTAGCCATTGTCTCTGGTGCTTTGCACGTATGGACCCATTATACCCTCACAATAACCCTGAAAGGTAGGTATTAGCCCCATTTTATGGATGTGGAAACTGAAGCTCCCCTAAAGGATAAGCCAACCACCCAAATCCTCACAACTAGGAAGGGAGGAACCAGATTCCTTCCCTAGTCCTTGAACTATGACTTCATGTCACACGACTGTGTCTCCTGCCTGCTGTCCAATGAGGTTTCATTTAGTTCTACCCAGTTCAGCTTCGCAAACATTTCCTGAGCACCCACCAAGTGAAGAGGGTTCTGCTAGGTGGTGAGGATTTAAAGAGGAATAAGACATGAGTCTGGTAAAGAAACATAAACCCAACTACCTCCAAACAGGGCATTGAGTGTGCCTGTGAAGCGCTTAATTCTGCCCACACTCAGCCCATATGCTGGTTTCAGCTACCAACATCAAGTGGGGCCATATCAACCACTCCCTGAAATCCCCCAAATTTCAAAGCTGAAAGGGACCTTAGTATCCAATCAAATAGTTTTACAGATAAGGACACTGAGGCTCAGAGAGGGGAGGTGGTTTTTCCCGGGGTATCATAGCTGCTTAGTGGCAAAGCCAGGGCCAAAGCATAGGTGTCCTCTCTCTGGGGCTGGTACCCCAGGCTCAGATGGGTCCTCTTTCCTTCACCTTCTGGCAAGTTCACTTCTGCTCCTCAGCAGCCCAGACTTCCCTCTCTCTTCCCCAGCCCACCACTCCCACTCCCCCTGCTGGCCTTGCACATCTTGCCCCAATCTGCCAGGTCCAGGACGGACACTCTGGGCAGTAAGACCCTGGGTGTGCACAATCCGCGCAGGCCCAGCCCTCCACCTCATTGCCACCCCTGGGTTCCTCCTCTTCAGGTTGCTGGGTGGAGGGGAGCGCAGCGCTGGGCTCTGGCAAAGTCCTATGCAGCAAAGACATGGATCCCTAAATAACATTTCCAGATTGTGAGTGAGGACAAAGACCAATATTGGGGTTTGAAGGCTATTGTCGTTGTTGGTAGCTTATTGTGTATAACGTGCTTTCTCTTCAAAACAACAAGGTGAAACAAGCTTAGTCCCTCTCGGATCCCCGACGTTTATAATATGAAGAGGGGCCAAGCGCTCCAGGCCACGCAAAGGCAAGACCTTTCCACGTTTCTGTCTGGAAGGCCGACGCTCCCTTTTCTTGTTTGGTCGGGTTTGAGAAATGCCTTCCTCTCCCTTGAGCCGGAGCCTCCAAGCCCCGACGAAGGTGGGTCTTGTTACCTTGGCAATAGCGAGGTTGGGCTGAGCGGCTGCTCCGACAGCCAATAGAGGCCACGAGGGGGAGGGACCAGCTGGGTCTTCTGCGGCTGCGGCGGGGCTCTCAGGTTAGCGGACAGGGCGTTGGAGGAGGGGGACAGGGGTCGTGGGAGGCCCTGGGGGGGTCCGGGGCCGGCCCAAGACCCCTAGATTAGGTGGGCACTGGCCTTGGCGGTCGGATCAGGTCTTCCAGCCTCTGCACCCAAAGTTTTCGTCGGGCCTTGAGCGGGGAGGAGCTGCCGGGCGGGCGGAGGCAGAGATGGCGAAGGGCGGTGGAACAGGATGCGGGGGTCAGAGCCCAGAGCGTGGGCTGTTCCTCGGAACTCGATGCCCCCTGCGGCCGTGTTTGCGAGAGGCCTCCCTTCCGGGCCCACCGGGTGGGCAATGGAGAGCCGGAGACTTGGTCGAGAGGGAAGGCAGCATTTGGCCACAGGGTTTTAGGAGGCCTTGGAATGCTGAGCCCAGCCCCCAACCCCATTCCAACGTCCCGGCGAGAGGCCGGGAATACGGGCTGTGGTGTGGCCACCTTCCCTTTCCCGACTTCATTATCTCTTATGCAGGTGTCCGGTCTGGTTGGCCCCCTGCCAAGCCTGCTAAGCATGAAGCTCCTATGTTTGGTGGCCGTGGTCGGGTGCTTGCTCGTGACCCCAGCTCAAGCCAACAAGGTGAGGGAGGTGAGACCCCAGCACCTCTTGCACGACCACCCTGCCGGCGGACTGGGCTTCCCCAGAGGTAGCTGCTGCTCAAGCCCTGCCCCTCTCCCTCGTTCATGGGCCAACTTTGGGGGACTCGCAGGCGCAGGACTGCAGGCCTCCGAAAGGGTGGAGTGAGGGGAGTGGGGTGGTTCACAGAGCATAGGTTCTGGATCGAATGGAAACCGAGGTAGGATTCCAGCAGGGGAGTTTGTGTTTGAAGGAATTATCTAAGTTCCCCATACCTTCCTTTGCTCCTGGGTTCAAATAAGTTGGTTATAATAGCCACTACTCTTCTTAAGGATAATCAAATTATACAGTGAGTAGAAATGCTTCCTAAGTGTGAAGTCCTACACAGTTGGGAAATTTCTATTGCCAAGGGTGACCAGCCTCACCCAACCTAAGCACTGGGACTCTGGAGAAATTGCAAGTTTCTTAAGGGGCATATGATCCAGAGCTGGGTAGCTCTGTGGTATTTGAAAACTTGAGGGTCACCAAGGCTTTAAGTAAGATGGGGTCGGAGGGTTTGCTTCCAGTCCTCCCGGGGAATTCCTGATTGGTATGAAAATTTTTGTGGTGGTGTTTCTTACCCATTTCAAAGAGGAAGAACCTTCTAAGGGGTTGCTTGGGTATTCCCATGAAAATGATCCACTTTTTCTTGATCACTTCTGCCCTTTGCCTGCCCCTAATCCTAACCTAGGAAGTGGGAAATGGGATGGTGGAGGGGTGGGGGGAAAGGGACACCATCCAGATCGCTGGACAGAGGTACACACAGTGGATGTGGGGCCCAGAGTAGAGGACTGTCACTTTGCTTGCCACACACGCCCTAGAGGAAATGGCAGCCCCAGGGAGCTTTCTGGAAGTCTCATTTGCCACCTGGACATTGTATGTCTTGAGGATCCCAAGATATTAGCGTCCTTCCTGCAGAGGTCATTCCTTGCTGAACTTGGGGATGGGAAAGATCAAGAGCAAATATGGAACAGGGAAATGAGAGTTGAAAGTCTTGCTAGAACCTGAACCCAGGGGCCCTGTCTACCTGATATGCTTTTTCTTCCAGAGCTCTGAAGATATCCGTTGCAAATGCATCTGTCCACCATATAGAAACATCAGTGGGCATATTTATAACCAGAATGTATCCCAGAAAGACTGGTAAGGCACTGTACATGCTGGCTCATGGCTGCTCCAGCTAGTTGAAGTTACTGTTTCCTGGGATTCTTGGATCCCTGGAGGATACTTGCTCTCTCGTTCCTTTGGAGATTTTTGTCCATGGTCACACAGTTACTTGGGAACAGGGGCTAGGTGTCTTGAATTCTAGCCAGAGAGTTCCTGGTCAGAGAAGTGGATTTTGTTATTTTGCTTTGATTTGGGTGCTTATTAATATATGCACAACGGTAGCAGAGAACTTGGGAGAGGTTGTTAGTATGCCCACATACTGTGGGATCTGTTGTGTACTTTTGCAAAGCCTTGTTATGTGTGTTATTCTGAAACAGTGTGATTAACACCTTGTACGGTAGGTGAGATAGGTAGTGTTCCCTTTTTATAATTGCAGAGTCTAAAATCCAAAACGGAAAGTTAAATTATACTCCTGGAGTCCTGAATTCGTTTCTAGAGGCTTCACTTTAAAAAAGAGACAAAGAAGCACAAATTCATTCAGAGAAAGGAGACCAGCTTGGCTCAAGGAAGTTGCAACACGTTGTCCTAGAAGGAGTGATTTAAGGGAGGCTCAGAGAGGGGAGGGCTTGGGGACATCTGGTGACTGACAAAGACCCAAAGACCCGGAGCACGGCTGGCATGCTCTGGGAGGTGGGGCACTTGGGAGTGGGAATCAGTTATGTTCAATGTGGTTTATTGGTGTGGAAGTGGAGTCAATAGAAACAACTTTAAGGAGGGGCACCTGGGTGGCTCAGTTGGTTAAGCGTCCGACTTCAGCTCAGGTCAGATCTCATGGTTCGTGGGTTCGAGCCCCACATCAGGCTCTGTGCTGACAGCTCAGAGCCTGGAACCTGTTTTGGATTCTGTGTTTCCCTCTCTCTGCCCGTCCCCCACTCATGCTCTGTCTCTCTCTGTCTCAAAAATAAATAAACTATTTAAAAAAAACAACAACAACTTTAAGGACAGTTTTGGGTAAACAGACTTACGTATGAGCTGAGGAGACATTTCTAACCCAGGCTGTTTTAGGAGCTGGGAAGCCCTATCCTTGGAGGGATCTGAGCACAGATGGGCTGACTGTTTGCTCAGGGCACCCTTAGAGAAGGGATTCACATGATGGGGACAGGATGTCCAGGCCAGTGTCATCAGGTTATACATCAGTATCATCAGGTGGGCTCTGAGAAGGTACAGATTCCAAGCACCTCCTGCCCCACCCTCAAGATTTTGGATTTTATGGTGGTTGTTTTTTCTCCCTGGCTTTATTGAGATACGTTAGATGTAGGGCGTTGTGTAAGTTTAAAGTGTACAGTCTGATGATATGATATACATATTGTGATATGATTACCACAGTAAGGCTAATTAATACCTCTGTCTCCTCACATAATTACCTTTTGTGTGTGTGGCAAGGACATTTAAGATCTACTCCCTACACAGTTTTCAAGTGTGTAATACAGTATTGTTAACTATAGTCACCGTGCCATACGTTAGATCTTCCCCCTAAGATTTTGATTCAGTAAGTGTCGGGGAGCAGGAGGGCGGGGTGAATGTTTCTTCCTTACGTGATCATGATGCAGTTTGTTTGGAGCAGCACTTGGGAATTTTGAACATCCCTGGTTCTGAGATGACCTGAGTGATTTTCCAAGAGGCTACCTAGTTAGATGCCCAGGCTCCGATCTGGTCTTCCTGGCCTTAACTCTAGGTTTGCTGCTTGCTCAGTCTGTGACATGTTACTGTGCTTCAGTTTCCTCATCTATAAGATGGGCAGCAGTATTTTGAGTATTAAGTGTGTGTGTGTGTGTGTATGTGTGTGTGTGGTATATGTGCTTGTACATACCTGTGTAAGCATAGCACTTAGACAATACCTGCCCACAGTAACTGCTGTGTAAATGTCAGTTGATATTAATATGTATTATCATGTGTTATTAGAGACCACATAGATAATCATCATCAGACTTGACACCATCACCCCGGAAAACTTGAGTGCCTCCCACAACATCGGTATACTGTTTCCCTGTGGTTTCGCCCATCCTGATGGAGTCACAAAGCCCTGAGACATGAAGTCCTGGGAGGAGCCCCTGTGACCTCCTTGCATCGTGGGGTTAGAGCTCAGATAACATCAGGAAATGAACTGATAGACTGTTCGAGCCCCACAGCAGACAGTAGGGCCACATCCCACAGGTGACAGCAGATCTTATTAGCAGTGTGTCCGCCTGGGGGTAGAGTATGGCCTAAAAACCCAAGCGTGGATGCCCACAGAGAAACGAGTCCTGTCTAGACCTTTCAGGCTGTAGCTTATCTTCTCCTTGGAAGTGAGAACTAAAGGATTGCCTAATGAACAGTCTTAACTTGAGAACTTCGAGACAGTTCCATTAGGGTGGTAGGTAGAAACCGAGGCTGGCTGGGATTCTAAGGACCCAGCAACACCGGCGACGCTCCCTTAGGGGTGGGATGGGGCTTGACATGTGGTCTTAGAGCCTCGGTGCTCTGGCCAGAGGAGACCAGTTGTGTCTTCCAGTCTCTGCCACCTTGCCGCTGTGCTGTCACATTGGTCCGTGGCTATGGCAATACTCGCACCCTCCTTTGTGATGCAGAGCGAAGCCAGAACTGCCTGAGCCGCAGTCCTCACGTGTAATGGCATTTGTGTTCCTGTGGTGCTGGTATCCTGCCATCTAGTGCTGGGAGTTCATAACCGCATGCTTGTAGAAGGGCACAGACCCTAACTATGTTGCTCTGTTGGTGGGTCAGCCAAGGAGATAATGTTATAGAGGCTGTCCCAGAGTAGGAAGGAGCCAAAGAGGTTGGCTAGTTCAGTTGTCTCTCAGACTTTTAAAAACTACACTTTTCTACAGACTCTGTTTTGGAAACACAATGTACAAAACAAAATCAGAACCGGTGCCGAGAGGGACCCATCCCTCAGCCCCTCCCTCGGCCTGCCTCCTTGCACAGTGGTTCCTGGGGTAGCCAAGAGAGCATAGCTTGAAAGACCCAGATGTAGTTCTGCCTCCATTTGTAAATGAGGACACTGAGACCCAGAAAGGGTAAATAAATTACCTGCAATCACAGAAAACGTAGAAGAGCAGAGAATCAAACCCAGTTTATCTTTGTAGACCTCTCCCTTTGCTGTCCTCTGGCCAGTCCTTGGAGTCTTTTGGTACCACCCATCCCCAAAAAGGTAAATGAAAGCCCTAGGGGACGGGGTCGTGTTTAGGGTTTCACTGACTCTCAGAAGGGCCAGAGCCAGCAGAAAGATTTCAGCTTTTCATTTACTGTCCCCTAACCCTTCTACAGCCTATGACCCGTGAGTAACAGCATTCCAGTTTGAAGAACCTGAGTTGGCCCCTCCCAGCTGCCCCTGATGCCCCACCTTGGCCTTGGGGGTAGTCCACACATCCTACTGCAGCACTGGAGTGACCTTCCAAACCAGGACCCCGTGTGGCTCAGAAAGGGAGGCCTCTGGTCCTCAGGAGGCTTGTAGGGACTTCCTGGAGAAGAAGGTCCCGGCAGTGATGACCAAGTGTTATGCGTGAACCTGACCCTGTCCATCAGCTCCCAGAAGTGGCAGTGTGCCAGGTCTGGAAATGGTGGCATTTAGTTACGGTAGAAGAGGACCCCTCAGCAGCCAGGGGTGATGTGTTGAACTTGCTACCCAGAGGTGAAACCAGAATCATCCGAGGTTTCGATGAAAGCATCTATGCTGCGTTCTAGATTTTTAAGGGAATCAGAGGATTTTAGAGGACATCTCATTTTTATTTCAACACTTGATCTTCACATCACACGTCTTCGATGCCTCTGCCAGAAACCCAGCCCGAGTCTAGAAGGACCCTGGATAGCTCAGAACAGGCCTGGTTGTTTTCAGAGAGGGGAAAATGGGCCCAGAGCCCCAGATACTTGGCAGCACAGCCAGGATAGCCCAGACCTGGCCACCCATGGCCGCATGACGCCTGGTTCACCTCTGTGAACCTCTGAGGGTGTGTTTGCCTCTTTCTGGTGGTAATGATAAAGGCGCGTTCTCCAGGTCATTTGCTTACTGTGGTCTGTGAACCACACATGTTGAGAACCTGCCGACCTGAGGAGGGCTGGGACTGATCTTGAGGCCCAGGTAAAGAGCTGAGCACAGGCCCCACTGAAACTGAGCATCAAGGTAAAGATGAGCCAAGGATCAGGGTTTGGGTCCTGACCTCATCGTGGTGGAGATGCCACGTTGCCTTCTTGAACCCACCTCCCTTTCAAACGCGCGGCCTGTGATCTTTAGCTCACCTTACTCAGGAGCACTGTTAGGGAAAGGGGGGCAAAGTGGGCAAGCTGTTAGAGCACAGGATGCATTCGACAGTCACTTGTTCACTGAGCGCTGCCCCGCCAGGGAGCTGGGATGATGGAGAAGGCCTCTGTCCTCGAGGACATCCCTTGGGGGAGACCGTACAGATACAGGTGAGATCACAGTGCGGTGATGGAGATGAGCGTGGGGAGAGGTCAGGACTTTGAGTTGGATCTCAGAGGATGTTTTAAGAGTGAGAGCATGGAAAGGGAAGGTGGCAAAGCCGTGGGTTCCTGGCAGAGGGTGGGAGATATATCAAGGGAGGGAGTGTGGCTCATTCAGAGAAGAGTCCAGAAGACAAGCAGAGCTGGAGGATGGGGAGCAGGGTGAGGAGTGGCAGGCGATGGAACTGGACAGGTAGGCAGCCCTGCAGTGAGGATCGGTCGGTAGCCGAGAGGGACCAGCTCAGTTCTTCCTGACCCTAGAGGCTGCATGGAGACATTGAGCAGCTTTAGGCTCTAAGCTGGGGGTGAGATGCCCAGAGTTCCATTTTGGTGACCCCACTCGGCTGCCGGGTGCAGGTAGTGTTGGCACAGGGCCAGACGAGGCAGGAGAGCCATGGGGAGGCCGGGCCACCTGCCAGAGGCAAAAATGATCAGAGCTTCATCTAAGACACAGCAACGGGAGACAGCAGAGAAGATGGGTCTTAGAAACTTAAGGAGATAAAACCACTGGCTTTTGTAGATTCATAGGTGAGAGGAAAAGGCAGTGTCAGAGGTCATTGCCAGGTTTTGACTTGGTCAGTGGAGTGGACGGTAGGGGTGCTTTCTGCCATTTGGAACACAGACCCTGGGACTGGGGGGTTGGGGTGGAGGGGCAGATGGGTGGATGTAGAGTTTGTGCACCCTGTGGGGTGCTCCTGTGCGGAATTCAGTGGACAGCTGGACGTAGGAGGGCCCTGGGGCAGTCCTGACTAGAGATTCTAGTCTCAGATACCAGTCTAGGCCACACCAGCTCGGAGTTGAAAATCTTTGGAATGGATGAGCCCCAGCAGGGGGCCTGTAGCAGGAGACAGAAGGCAGCTGAGGGCAGAAGTTTGGGGAACGTTAGCGTTTTTGGTGCCAGCCCTATAGGTACACTTTGGAGAGCTGGTTTGGAAGGGCAGCAGCCAGGTGCTGTGAGGCTCTGGGTTTGGAAGGGGGGTTGTGCCAGCCTGACGCGTTATAAACTCCGCACCCCCTGGAGCACCCTCACCTCTGCCCAGTGCCCTCCCTCCCAGGCTGCCTGCTTCCTGTGGCCCTGCGCCCACCGCCCTGTCCGTCTGTGTTGCAGCAACTGTCTGCACGTGGTGGAGCCCATGCCGGTGCCTGGCCATGACGTGGAGGCCTACTGTCTGCTGTGCGAGTGCAAGTACGAGGAGCGCAGCACCACCACCATCAAGGTAGCCCACCTCTCGGGGGCGCCCCCACCCTCACCCCAGTCCCCGGCTGCCCGTCCCTCGCGGTCTCTGGCTGTATTCCGAGCATCCCAAGTGGCTGTGGGACTGGCTCCTGGGCTGGCCTTGTCACAGCCGCAGGGGCCCGCAGGTGTTCCTACACCTTTTTGGAGCCAGCTTTCTCCTCTGCCATCTGTCTGGTGGCTCCCAGTACTCGGCGGGGAGGGTTGGGGGTGGGGTTCCTGGAAACCTGGGAGAGGTGTTCAGGGTCACTCTTTTCTTCCCATTCTTCCCGGTTTTTCCCTTCCTCTCTCTCCCGTTCCTTCAGTGAGCCTCTTTTGGGTGCCTTTTATGTTCTGGGCACCGTGTGGGATGCTGCTAATAGAGCGGTAAGCCCGCCCCCCCGGAACATCCAGTCTAACGGGGCTCCTCAGAGTCCTGGAAAGCTCCCAAGGGCTGAGGACCAGGGCTGGTGTCTGCATGGCGGAAGCTGGCAGGAGGGGCCTCAGCCCTGACCCTCGTTCTCCGAGGCTGTTGGGTGAATTCAGGAGAGACGTGGTAGACACGACCCCTGCCACAGCGAGCGAGGACAGGGGCCTTGTTCTTCCTTCCGCCTGAGGCAGATGCGACAGGACCACGGCTCACACTAGCAGAGTCTCAACCACCCAGAGCTCCCCAGGCCTCCTCCTAGTCTGTGTTCTAACACCTGAGCCAGACCCCATCTGCCAATTTCTAGTTTAAGCTCTTCCTGGCCAGGTTTTAAACTTACTTCTGCTTGTTCTGTGGAGAGTCTAGAAACAGCATCAAGAAAGGAATCTAGGAATTTGATGACACTGCCTAGTCCAGGTTTCTCCTTTTGAGGCACAGGAGGGGCGGCGATGTCCCCTGCTGTCCTGCCCAGACCAGGGAGCTGGCAGCTTTTCCCTGCCCAGCAGTCCTCCGTGTGCCCGCCTTCCTGATGGAAGCCTGTCCCCACGTCCGTCATCACCCTGCCAAGCTGTGCAGACCCAACTCCTTTTATCCTCCTGCCTGAGCTAGCCGCTCCTGGAGCATCTTTCTCCTGCTCTGAACAGGCTCCAGGGGCCCCGCCCTCTGGGGACCAGATGGCTGAGACTGGATTCTGAGCCAGGTGTCTCCTCTCCCTATTTGGCAGAAAGGGACTTACCGATATGGGGATCTCATCAGACACACTTCCTAATCCCTCAAATTTCCCTCCAGTCCTCCTTCTGAGAAGCCTCCCCAGCCCCCCAGCTTTAGCCTGTGAAACACTCAGCCTCCACTCCCCTTCCCCTTCCCGGGGTACAGGCAAGAGGTCTGACCATTTGCCCTGTTTAAAGAGGCATGAACGCTGATGCTCCAATCAGGGAGGAAGTTGGTCCAGTTGAACTTGACCTTTGACTGAGCTGAGCTTTGATATGAAAGTCTCAAGGTTTCTCTCTTCCTTTTGTCCCTCCTCGCAATCCATTTAAGGCCAAGGCTGGGATCTGAAGCCATTGATGGCCAGGCGTTGTGGAAGTAGGAAAGCATTTGAGACAGTAAATCTGAGTTCGAGTTACGTCTCTCCCACTTGCTAGCTTTGGTACCTAGGCTGAGCGGTTTCGCCTCACGGTTCTCAGTCAGGTGATTACCGGCCGCCCAGGGGGCATTTGGACACAAGTGAAGGTGCCTCTGTGGTCCCAGTAGCTGAGGTGGATTAGTAGTGCCAGTCAGGGACTGTGGCTGCTGAGTGTCCTGGAGAATCCTGTCTCAAAGGCCCAGAGCATCACACTGAGAAACATTGAATTAGCCTCTCTGAATCTGTCTTCTGTAAAACAGAAATTATTCCAGCTTGCGAGGCTCTCCACGTATATAGGAGATTCAGGAAGCTGTCATTCTGCCCCTGCCTCTCCCCTCACTGCAGGGTGGCTGCCGGGAGGGGGAGATATAGCCTCAGGCCATCAGTGTGCACCTCCTTGCCAGCCTGTCCCTTCCACCAATTGGCGTGCCCTCTCAGGACTGGATTTCATACCTGTCCATCCTGTTGGCAGGGGGAGTGAGCCCTCTTGCCCAGGTGCTCGGCTTCTGCCCTCAGGCTTCTCCACCAGCCGGTTCTTCCTTGCTCTTAGTGTCCCATTGCTTTCCACCCTTTCTTAGAGATAACCAGGTAGGCCCCGTTTCCCTGCTTCCCACTCTTGGGAGCATCTTGGGGTATCAGGATCCAGACGTCTTTCTTCATTATCCGTTGTTTTTATGTCCTCCATTCTTGTGGGATCCCCTGTTTCAGGGCAGAGCTGGTACACATGTGGAATAGGGCATATCCCCTTCCCTCTTGCCCCCCAAGCCCTCTGTGACCTCGGCCTTCCCCTGTGCAGCCCTGGAGACAGCCACACCATCGGCTACGCGCGGCACAAGAATGGGCACGACTTGCCATCCTAGCTGCGCACGTTCACAGGGCGAGCTGGCTCTTTCCCTCAGGTCATCATTGTCATCTACCTGTCAGTGGTGGGGGCTCTCTTGCTCTACATGGCCTTCCTGATGCTGGTGGACCCTCTCATTCGAAAGCCGGATGCATACACTGAACAGCTGCACAATGAGGAGGAGAACGAGGTAACCGGGGTTCTGGGCGCTGGGACCCTGCCACTACCTCTGCCCACACACAGCATCCTGGGCCCCCAGCATGCGAGTCCCCAGGGCAGAACCAGGACAACATCATGAAGGCCTCGTTGGGGATCCGTGTCCCCCACCCCCAGTGCTCCAGTTCGCTCTTCTCCTGATCAGCGTCCCACACGTCACCCAGGCTCTAGAGCATTCCCCGGCAGGGGACTGTTCTTTGCACTCCCACATGGGGCGGGAGGTAGCCCTGCGGGCTTCCTGACATCTGGCATCAGGCAGCCCCAGAGCGTCAGCCGGAGGGGCCAGATGTTCTGTTGCCCTGCCTCTCTCAGAAGTGGGCCACCCAGGGCCGGTCACATGTAAACACACACGATATGCTGGTTGCTCAGACATTGGTGCTGAGCTCTTGGCAGACTTGGAGGTAGCAGGTTTGTCCTTTAGTGATTCTGTGATCCTCTGTGGAGCACCTGCTTGACGCAAAGCACAATCTGGCACCTTGAGAGAAAAGTAGGATTTTATGAGCCAGTGAGGAATAAAGTAGGTGGCGGTGCCGAGGTGGGAAATCCCTGTGTGTGCTGGCGGAACTTGGAGCTTTCCGAGGATGAGGATGAGGGAGGCATGTTGGATTGGTGGCAAACAGAGCTGGCCGGTAGGTTTAGGCCAGATTAGTATTGGCCTCAAATATCAGGCTAAGGAGTTTCAACCTCATGAGATAAAGAGGATGGGGGACCACTGACCCCAGGGAGTCTGCAGGCCCCTCAGGTTAGGGCTGGTGGGGCTGGGGCCAGGCCCGGCATGGCCTGCAACCACTCTTGCCCTCTTCCATCTGTCCCCATGCCAAGGGGCTAGGGGTGCCCTGCAGAGGAAGTCCTGGGTGGGGCAGGGCAGCTTTTTTCCAGCTGCGGAAAAAAGCTCCTGGTGGGAGTGAGAAGTGGTGCGTGTGTAGCCGGCCTGGGCGGGGGTATGGTGAGCCAGCACGTTCCCCCAGCAAGGCTCTTCCTGCCATGTGCCCGGAGCGCCCCTCTATGAGGTCACCCAGCCACCACGGCGGCCTGAGAGCAGGGGTATCCGCAGGCAGGGCAGGTCCCACTGCCACTCTCTACCCCGGGGCACGGGCTCCGAGAAGTTGTGGAGAGCGTAGAACAGTCCAGGAGCTCTGTCCTTGGTGGCTCCTGGCTGCTGGAAGAGACTGTTTATCCCCAGAGTGAGGAAGGAGCGAGCGAGCCAGCACACGCACAAAGGGGCTTCTAGGGGCGAGGCATCGCAGCCATGTCCTGGGAGGGTGAGTTGAAGAGACTGGGAGATGTTTAGCTTGAAAACAAACGAACCAAACTCAAGGAGATCCATGAGAGCGGACTTCAGATAGCACCTCTTCAGGAGAGGGCTTTGCTGCGCCCAGGTGAAGCCGGGGCACGGGGACCCACAGTTGGAGTTAGGAGAGGGAGTCTGAACAAGGTCTAAGAAGCAGTCTTCTTGCAGATGACACCGGCGATAATGGGTCGGGTGGGCTCCCTTGTAAGCTAGTGTGTTTGGACTCACAAGAGACCACCAGGCGTCGGCTACACTGCCACCAGGCAGTCATAATTTAGAACCTTTCAAGCACTGGGTTGGAGGTGGGGAAGGGCACATCCCCCACCAAGAGGGTCCAGGGCTCAGGCCTCAGTGTGTGGCCATTAGGCAATGGGTCTGGGCCAGCACGCGCCAGAAGACGAGGCCAGGAGAGTAGGGAGGCCTGGCCATCCCATGGGCCCTGTTGCTTCTCTTGGGTATGTGCCTGGACCGTCCCCAGTCTGCCCCCAGCCTCCTGCTGACATGAATTTGGCCAAAGTGGGGAACAAGAGGATGAGCCTCGCCCCCTTGGAGCTGGGGCCTGGGAGGTGGCGGTGCTGGCGGTTGGGTGGTCTGTGTTCAAGAGGAAACTGTGTGTGTGTACCCGGTTATTAATGTACAGTAATAGCAGCTCTGATGGGGAGGAGCATTGCTAATAAACACTCGGCGATTAGGGGTAATGTGGTAATTGCAGTCCTGGCTGGGGGAGTAATTGAGAGATACAGCTCCGTGATTACACAGCCCGTGCTGCGATTTCTCTGGAATGCATGGCTCTCGGGCATGGCCTTGTTGTGTCTCCCGCCATCCTGGATGTGGTGCCGGAGGGGAGGGCAGCCTGCCATCTCTGGGTCTGGATGCGGGCCCCTTTTCCCCAGGAGACCTGGGATGCCCCCCACTTTGAGTCTTAAGTCGTACCTGCCTCGGTTTGTTTGAGGGGGATTAAGGCAGAGTGGGGGTCTTAGGTTTGGTCATCCAGTGTCTGAGAGCAGATCGTGGAGCCAAGGAAGACGGTTCCTGGGCGCAGATTTTGGCTAGTGGGAAGGAGGATTGTCCTGCGAGGAGGTGTCGTGGGTGCCTGCAGGGGCAGTGGGGTACCTTAGGCCGCCCTCCAGCTGAGGCCGGCAAGCCCATGCTACACACTGTGGAAGGAGGTCCGCCTTGATAGACAGAGGGGGGATGGGTGACACTCCCTCACCTCCTACCCCAAGGTTCTAGAAGATAATAAGAGGTGCTCAGTCTCTGATACCCTGACCCAGCCAGCTCTGCACAGATATGGAGGGTGGGGCAGGGTGCGGCTCCTGGTACCTGAGGGTGGTTAGGGAAATACCTTCTGGCAGCCATGACTGAGGCATAACTGCCCCCCCCCCCCAGCCCACATTCAGCACCCTCAGCATGGATTGTCCCCTAGTCCCAGTACTCCGTCTGGCTCCCCATCCCCTCACCTTGTGATTCTGGGTGTGTCCCCAACTTAGGTGTTCCTAGGTCATCTCTCCTGGGGGTTCAGCAGCTCCATTTTCTCCCATGGACATGGCCGCTCTTCCTCCCGCTGAACTCCAGAATCCTGCAGGTGACACTTTGTAGACTTATATACCTCATGTTTGCCCTCGGGTTTACACCCCAGGACAGAGCCCAAACCGAAAGAATGAGCAGGGACCATGAAGGCAGTTGGTGAGATCAGGTTTTAGGAGATGGGCAGTCAGAAAGTGGGTGCTTTGGGCAGCCCTTTATTAGACAGGGGGCTGGACACTTTTCCTTTCCTTCCTGTTAGTCTGGGAAGGAAGGCTTCCTGCCCTCAGGGGTCTTCAGAGCCAGCTCAGGGGATAGATGGGACAGTGACAGCTCAGCTGCTATAGGGACACTGGGGTCCGTAGTGTCCAAAGGTCTCATCTCTCCAGAGACCCAGTGCCCTTGGTCTTGGATGTTGAGGGGTACTCTGCTGACCCACCTGTCTCAGTGCACTTGGAGAAACGGGGGTGGGGTTGGGGGCAGGGAGAGCAGGCCCCAAGGCCACCTGGCTGAGCAGCGGTGGAGCCAGGGCTGAGGCTGTGTCTCTGGGTTCATTGATGGTCTGGAGAATGTTTCCCTTAAGGAAGCAAGAAGGACAGGGTCCCCCTTGGAGTAAAGGAAGAGAGTTGGAACAGGACCTCTCAGGTTCTTTGAAAGTTCTCCTGGGCCCGTACAACTCAGTGACCTTGAGGGGGAAACTGTCCAGGCTCCAGTGCCCCCACCCCCCCACCTTGAGTTGGGAGCCAATCAGAGATGAGATCTAGGGGTTGGATCACTTCCCAGGTTTGGGGGCCCTTGGCTCCATTCCCCCAATTCCTGTAGCCAGGAGCTCTGCTGCCCCGGGGCGAGAGGTCTGGGAGAGGAAGGGAAGCCTCCCCCACAGCCTCAGCCCCAGTGCCCGAGGAGGGAGATGAAAGCCTGTCGTGTTCCCTTTGAAAGTGCTGGCAGGCCTCAGTGGGCCCTGATTGCCGCGCGCTGCCTCCCCTGGGATTCCGGCAGCATTAGGCTTAATCCCCAGGCTCAGACACCCTTTGAAAGGAGGAAGCAAGCATGTTTGCTAGGACAGAAACAGCAAACAGAGCTGTGTTAGATGTACGGGTTTGGCCCTCTTTGAAGAGAGAGAAATGAGGGTTTCCATGAGGCTCTGGGTGTCTCTGCTACTTGCAGCGTGGGCCCCTGAGCTCTGAGGGCTCCTCAGAGATCTCACCCCACTGGGGCTGGGTGCCCCCCGTGTGAGAGGGATGTGTGGGGAAGCAAAGGATGGTGGCCATGACGGGGGCTGCAGCTGGGAGCATGAAGGAACTGGGGTGGCCTCCCCTTCTGTCCATGGACGGGTGGGCCATGCTGTGTGCCGAGGGCCCTCGCCCTGGGGAAGCCAGTGGAGACACACGCTGATGGGGACAGTTCTCCCACCTCCTCTGGGGACGGACAGAAAAGTACATGGTTCTGGAGCATCCGTTAGGAGACCCCCAGCACTGCCGTTGGGAGCAGGGCTTTGGAGCCGTAGCTCGGAGTTGGAGTCTGGCTGCCACTTACTAGCCACGACACCTGATCCCTTAGCGTGGGTTCCTCAGTCTGGAATGGGCGCCATGTCCTCGTAGTCATGTGGGTACCAGCTTGACAGGGCTTTCTTCATCCTTAAGAACGAGCTGTCTCTGTGAGGTCTGAACGGCCCTGGGATTGTTGGAGGGGAGGCCTGGTGGTGGTGAGGGGCGGCCGCCCCCCAGGCCGGTGTAGCTGCAGGGCTGGGGGATGCGGGGGAGGCGGGGCCGGGAGTGCGCCCCTCAGCCGGCTCAAGGCCTGGAATGCTGTGTCCACGAGTGCTTGCTCTGTGAGGAGCTGCGTCAGCGGGCAGGGCTTTTGGGCGAGGGAACGGCATCGTGCCACGTCCTAGGAAGGTGACTGGGAGCGTGTGGGAGTCCGGGAGAGCTTTGCCGCAGAGAAGCAGTGGGATTTGGCAACAGCAGGAAGGATTTGGGTTAAACTGGGACGAAGGAGGGAGGCGGTGTGGTCACTTTTCTGGAGGGCTTTGCACCAGGGCCATTCTTAGCTGCGTGACTGGGTAAGTGACAAGAATGCCTGTCCTGCCCCCACTCCCAGGACTGAGGAGAAGGGTGGAGGGGCCGCAGCACCGGGTGGGGGGTTCTCTTTTCCTCCATCTCCTTGTCATCAGAGAGGCTTCGGCCCAGCCCAGTGCTGACTCGGAACCAGTGCTCCTACCAGGGCTGGAGAGGCTTCATCTAGGCCAGTAGGGTGGTGGTCGTCAGCTGTGGCCTGTGTGCACCGGGCTCTGGGGCCTCCCAGGCTTGGAGAGGAGGGGGCTTGAAGTGCCTGATTCCGGGTGCCTTTACAGGTGCTTTGTTCTTCCCCTGAGCTAGCGGGAAGATAGCGGCTTATTTCCTTGTTTGCCACGTTGGCTCCCTCTTAGGAGAAACCAGCCAAAGAAGGACCCGCCCAGCAGAGTGCTGGGGGAAGAGAATGGCGAACATGGTTCAGACCCCAGCCAGCCACCAAAATGGCTGTGTGGCCTTGGGTAGCAAAAGGATTCATCTCCCATAGCCTCAGTTTCCCCATCTGCAGATGTGCCAGTCTTGTAAGCCTGGGGACAATCCACGTAACGTACTTAGCAGAACCCACAGCACTTAGTGACACTTGTCATCGTCATGCTAGTCTGGTCCCGCTGGGCATCCCCTGGGGTCCTGTGGGTATCCAGGCGCCTCCCTCCTGTCCTAGCTGCCCTCCGGCCTCCCTGACTTCCCGGAGACCCAGCCTCAGAGGAAAGGAGCTCGATCAGAGGAGAGGGGCTAGAAATGGTTCCAGCTGCGAATGCTTCCGCCTCCAGCTGCGAAGCTGCCTGTAGAACGGGCAAGGATGCGGCCCTGCTCTGGGCCGTCTCTAGAACAGATGTGGAGTCTTTAATACCTTTTAATCAGACTATTAGCAAGGGAAACACGGAGGCTCTCAGCAGCAGCTTTCCCCCACTTAGGAGCTGTTTGTTAAGACTTTACATGAAGGGAAAACAAATGATACTGTGGTAATGCGGTGAATTTCAGCATGTTCCCTTAATGCTCTGCTCTTGGCTTCCTCTGGCTTCCCCTCCTCAAGACGTTCTTCCAAGATGCAGGGCAGTGGAGAAGCAGGGCTGAGGCTGCCCCGACCTCCAAGGCTGCCTGAGTGCCCCAGCCCGCACCTTGGAGCTCCCCCCTGGGCACTCCTTGCAGGACCCGGAAGGGATGGGATTAGCAGTGGTGGGGGGTTGGGGGTGGGGGGCAGGTGGGGAGAGAAGCCCCTGAGGCCCCCCAAAGCCAGGACAGCCAGGTGCTGGTGGGCCAACAGCTTCCCCGGCGGGTCTTCAGTGCCCACCTCCCCTGCACGGCCACACGGAGGCCTGTGGTTCCCCCCCCCCTCGCCCCCACCTGTAGCACTCAGCTGGCACAGCTGAACCAGGAAGGAACCACACTGAAAGGTGGGACGGCGCCACGGGGGGTTTTCAGAGGCAGCTCCCTCTGGCAGCAGGCTGCCCTTTCTGCCCATCTCCCACCGAGGAGAGCTGGGGTCTGACACGGACACTGTGGTGCCTGTTCTCTGCCAGGCGCTGCCAAGACTTCACTTTCTTTGCCTCATCCAGAAGCTGCTCCTGCGGCCCTCCCTGTGTGGCTAGGGAAATAGGTTTAGAGGATGAGCTGGCTCGCCCAGGGGCACATCCCGATAGGCGTCGGAGCCAAGATTCATAACCAGGTTGGTTCGATTCTTGAGTGTTCTTAACCACTAAGCCGAACAGTCCAGGAAGAAGGAAACTAAACATCTCTTGAGCTCCTACTCCACAGCGGCCAGTATACTAAGAACTTGATAACGTACTGTTTTCTTTAACCTTGCCATACCCATCTCCCAATCCGAAACCAGGTTTTTCAAAGTATGGATCACAACTGTTAGGTTGTGAAATTCAATTTACTGAATCGTGACCACAATTTAAAAAATGAAATGGAGCAGAGCAGAGAACATCAGAATGCCTCATACTAAGTATCTTATACAATTTCCTGCTGACAGAACAGTCAAAAGAAGTCTGAAAAGACTGGCTTTATTAAATTGAAGCTTGGAGGAATAATCACTTGTCCAGGGGCACGGGGTGCTAGGTGGCAGAGCCTGTCCCTCTTTCCCAGCTCCCACTCAGAGGCCTGTGGGATGGGTGCTGGGGGTCTGAGCCAGGGAGAAGGTGGTCCCTTAGAGCCCAGGCCTGGAACCCAGGAGTCCTGACTCCTGCTCAGTGCGCCCCCTGCCTCACGCTGCCAGTACCTGCGTCCTTGATGTCCCCGTGATCCTCAGCTATCCAGGCTGAGGAAGCTTCCTCAGGGTTCTGGACTGGGGCTTCCAGAGGGCAGCGTTCTCATGAGGCAGTGACTCAGAGCTCCATGGGGACAGTGAGCTACCCCCCAGCCTCACCCCTAGCTGGCCACTGCTCTGCAACTGCCAGCCTGCCTCCCCTACCCTCGCCTAACCACCTCTCCCTCCTCCCCTGCCTGGCAGCTGCGAGGCGACAGAAGACGTGCCAGCTCGGGGCATTAGAAGCAAAGTTGCATTTACTGGGCGGCTCTGGGCTTAGAGAGGTGTGCTAATCCCTTAAGAGATGTGTGGCAGGAGATGAGAGGCCGGGAGAGCGAGGGAGGAAATCCCCACAGGGGTGTGGGCCTGGCCCTCGGCTCTAATTCCCCCCAAAGATCAGGTTGGGGTCCTACAGGAAATGCAGGGGCTCTGGAGCTTCAGAGGCAGAGAGGTGGTAATTAGGGGAGCCGCTGCCTTTGACAACAGAGGCGGTTCTGAGAGCACAGGGGAAGAGGATCAGTGGGGCACACGGAGGAGCAGAGCCATCCTGACCTGACCCGTCAAAGGGGAGTGGGCCTGAGAGGGCTCTGGACCGGGAAGCCTGGGGTCCATCTCCCATTCCCCATCCCCAGCCAAGCAGCTCCTGTGCACACTCCTTGGTGCGCCCGGCCTCCCCGCCAGAGCCCACATCAGGGCAGCCAGGCCCTAAGCCCTGGGCCTCCCCCGCTGTCCCTGTGCCCTGGCTGTCAGGGTGGAGGAGTTCTGCAGCCTAGTCCCTGCCACGGGACACACTGATGCTTGTCCCTGAACAGCAGATGGCATCAGGGCGTCTGCTGACCAAATGAGGCAAACAGTCCAGGAAGACCTTTCCTCTTGCAGGTTAGAAATAGGCCAGTGTGGGGGCGCCTGAGTGGCTCTATCGGTTGAGTGGCCAACTCTTGATTTCCGCTCAGGTCATGCTCCCAGAATTGTGGGATCGAGCCCCACGTTGGGCTCTGCACTAAACACGGAGCCTGGTTGAGATGCTTTCTCCCTCTGCCCCTCTCACCTGCTCTCTCTCTAAAAAATAAATACATAAATAAAATAAAGTAAAAGAAATAGACCAGTGGGATGCAGCCAGGGACTCGACTTGAACTGGAGCAGTGTGGTGACCAGGGCCTCTGCTCATACCCCTCCCAGAGTGCCCCCTCTCCAAGGCCCCACCTTATGTGTTCTGCAGACACCAAGCCTGCAGCTGGCCTGGTGTGCTGTGCTTGGCCCTGTGGAGGACAAGGCAAGGCCCCCAAGCCGCCCCCAAACATGGAGGGGGGGTCCAGCCTCCTGGTCTTCGGGGAGCTCAACCTTTGGGATTGCTCTAAGGGCATTTTTTTCTGTGTCAGGGTTTTGAGATCTATCCCCCCACCCCCAGCTCACAGTGCCAAAGCTTGTCTCTGTTTTCTTCCACTACAGGATGCTCGCTCTGTGGCAGCTGCCACTGCCTCCCTGGGGGGCCCTCGAGCAAACACCGTCTTAGAGCGCGTGGAAGGCGCTCAGCAGCGGTGGAAGCTGCAGGTACAGGAGCAGCGCAAGACCGTCTTCGATCGGCACAAGATGCTCAGCTAGATGGGCCGCCGAGGTCAGATCAAGGAGCAGAGACCACGACTGCCAGCTTCTGGGGCTGGACGGAGCCAGAGGCCCTTTCCCCCCACTTGGTGCCACCCTTCCCAGGTTTTCTCTTTAGAAGCCCGTGGCCACTTTCCCTCTCCTCTCTCTTTTTAGGAAAGTCGTAGCCCGCTGATCAGATCTGGGAAGAGTGATGGGGTCCCTGGTCTCTGGTTTGCCTGCTCACATCTTGGGGTTAAGGGGAGGGGATGGTGGCTAGAGCAGAGCTGAGACTCCTCAGGTGGCCTCAGGATTGGAACAGTCGAGACCACCTTACTTCACCCTGGCCACCCTTCCAGCTCCAAATCTCGGGAATGTTCTTAGCCTTTGCAAGATGGAGCTGGGCCATCCAGAGCTTAGTGTGTTGGAGGAAAGCAGTCCGCATGGGCTCCTCTGCTGTGAGTTGTGGGGCCACCTTCCTCCCACCTCAGTACCTCAGCCCCAGCTCCACCTGTTTCCATCCCTCAGGATGTCTCTGGTGGGACAGCCGATCCCACTGAGCCACACTGTGTCTTCAGGGCACACCCGGACGCTTGTCTCCCCTCCCCCCCCCGCTCTTCCACCAGTGCACGGCGGTGCCGATGCAGCTTGCTTACTCTGCCACCTGGGCCCTCACCCCCACATCCCCGTGTCTGCACTTGCTGAGCCAGACAGTTGGTGGGACCATGTGACCAAGAGGCTGAGTGGTGGCTCTGAATATCATAGCTCCTGTCCTTGGATTTCCTCTCGCCTCTGAATTTCATTGTAGCAGTGCATGGAGAGAAACGTTTGTCCTTCCGTTGTCTGTACATCAAGGAAGCCATCATTAAATTGTCTTATTTCTCTCACTTCCTGGATTTCAAGAGATCTAGAGAGCTGGGCGTGTTTCACAAGTGATGTGATAAGCACTGTGTCCCAGAGAAGGGACAGAGAACATTGTCCTTAATAGGTCCAGGCAGGGACTCAGAGCCTGGATGGTCCTGGTTGCTGCAGCAGGGCCCACGGTGGAGGCCGGGTGGAGGAAGGGTGGAGACTGGCCCCTCTCGAGCTCTGTCCACTGGCCGTCGGGAATTACCTTGAGATTTTGTGTTTCGTCTTTGTGGGAGATTCCGCCTTAAACTCTGAGCAGTCCTGATGTCAGTCAGTAAAAGGTGTTCATGCAAACATGGGTTCATGCAAAACCCATGTTTTCCCTAATGAAAACCCACCGCTCTTCAGGGAGGGGTGGAAAACAGAGCTGCCTGGGAGAAGCAAGCGTGAGTGAGTGCCGTCAGGGGGCCATCCAGAGGAGCCCAGCACGGTGCCCCAGAACGTTCAGGGTGGGGTGCGGCCAAGCCAAGACCCAGGCAGAAACCATGCATCTAGAGGGGCCAGCCGAATCTGATAAAGGTTTCTGCCCTCAGGTTCAGCCAACAAACTTGTATTGAGAAGCTTTATGTGGAGCCCCCTGCTGGTTTCTTGGTGAGGTGCGAGCTAACAGAACAATGTGAAATGTAGATTTCAGTTAGCAAAGATTTGCCCAAGTTCAGAGTCCAATACTAATATAAAGGAGATGTGGGGCGGGGGGTGACATGCCAATGGGGCTTCTAGGAAGAGCAGAGACTTTGGAGTTTGCCTTGAAGCAAGCAAGGGATGCAGCAGAGAAGGGGCTGGAGTGATTGTGGGATCCCAAGCAGATGTGCTCAGCCAGCATGAAGCTTTGTGGTGGCGTTAACTGGAGGTATACATGCCACCGGAAGGAACGAGCATGGATTCCAGTCCTTCCCTCTTCGTTTGCGTGGCATGTACTCGGCACTTGCTGGGGCCACCCACTGCTTTGGAAGCCTGGGAGCAGGGGGTGGGAGCATTGTAATTCTTTCACAGTGAGGATGCTCTTATTTCAAGAGGCAGACAGAATTGGGTCTTTTCAAAGGTGGGCAGATGCATATGTTAACTGATCAAGAGTAAACAATCCAGAAATTGGTGTCTAATGCTGCCTTGTCCCCCCTAAACCACACCGCCCTGGGGGAAACCTTGAGTACAGTGTTTCTCGGAGTCTTGGTTAAATCCAAGACTGATGATCCAACCAGTGCTTGGTAGTTTTAAGGATTTAAAATGAAGCAAGCAGCTATCACTAACTATAAATAAGCCAAGTATGTAAAAATCAATCGTATAAAAAATTAGGATGACTGTTCACTTTATATAAGGATTCTGCCAATAGCCAAACATCTAGATATGCTTCACCTCATACACACAAAATTGGTTTTTAGACGATTCCAGAATGTACCTCCTCTTTCTATGAATGAAGAAAGAACAGGGAGCTCAGCAGAGGGAGAACAGGGTTATGATCCCTACAGTTAATTACAGAAAAGATGAGAAGTGACACTCTTTATCCCATCTCACGTGGTACGACATGAATTTTAGTGTCATGCTCAGAACTCTGGGGTCTTCTATCAAACCCACGGGACCTGCTGTTGAGCAAGGGATTGGCCCACCTGGAAGACACTGGGTTTGGCCCTGGGGCCTACGGCCTTAGAATAGTTCTCCATGGTTTGAGGCCAGCACACTTCCTGGTGGTCTCTCTCTCTCTCCATTTCTCACTCAGACCCACTCCACCTCCCCTGTCTCCTCGCATCTACCCTACTCCCCCAGCAAAATTCCAAGTGTGGGTCTACAGCCCTGCCTGACCTCTCTCTTCCTCCCTGGGCAGCTCAGCTCTACTTACGAGAGACTGAGTAGCACCCCTGCGGGTTCGTGTTCACCACCCCTCACCTCTTCCCTGCCTTTGTGGGGGCCATCAGTCCTTTGGCATTGTTCCTTTCTTGTGCCTCACTCTTTGTAGAGGTCACTAGGCAACTTTCCTGTATTTCCCCTTCTCCCTACCCTAGAAACTATTACCCCGCTACTTCAAGAAAATCAAGGCTAGTAGGTATGATCTCTCAACTTCCTTACTCCCATCTGAAAGTATTGCTTCATACTTAACCTCCTTTGCTGTGGTCTTGGGGATAGCATGTTTTCTTGTTCAAAGCCAACCCACCCATCCCCTTCTCCCTGGGACCTCCACCATGTCTTGAACCTCACCCTATTTCCTGGTCCTTCTCAGCCTATTACTGTGTTCAGTCCTCCTGCCCTACAAAGAAACGTCCATGGGCTCCACGTCCACCTCTGACTACCATGGAATCAACCACCTGACCCTATGCCCTCTACCTTCCCTTTCAGCCCTTCACCCCCAGCCCTCTGTAGGCAAGGTCATTGATGACTATAATTGCCAGACCCAGAGGATGTCCTTGGTTCTCACCTTTCTGCCCCCGCCCCACTCTGCTACCTTTGATACCATGATCCTCCTTCCTTCATGAAATTCTTCACTTGGCTTCTGGGACCCTGCCTTTTTGGTCCTCTTTGTCCTTTCTGACCATCCCTTCACTTCTTCCTAAATATTGCTATTTCTCAGGCTTCCGTTTCCAGCTTCCATGGCTCAATCTAAAATTTAATGTCTAAGTACTCTGCCTAAAGTCTATTCTCCTTTGTGATTTTTTGATATTAACTCTAGAACCTCTCTCTCTAGCCCAGACCCGACCCTTGAGCTCCAGGCTTGTCTACCCAGCTCTCAGCTGGACTCTCCCACTGGGTGCCTCAAAGCCTGTCAAAATACACATGTCCAAGATTAAGCTCTTTAGTTGACTTTTATAGTCATTATCTGAATTGACTTTTCTATTTGTTATCTGAATTGGTGGTACCATTGCCCACCAACTTGTTCAAGCCAGAAACCTGGAGGTCATTCAATTCTTGATCTTTCTTTGTCTGCAGTTCCTATGCCCAGTCACTCAAAAGTCCCACCAACTTGACCACAAGTGCAGCTGACTCGAACAAGTTTGTACTGCACAGGTTCACCTATATGTGGATTTTTTACAGCACAGTACTGTAAATGTGGCTTTTTTTTTGTCTTATGATTTTTTTAATAAGTTTTTTTTCCCTAGCTTACATTATTTTAAGAATACAGTATATACTACATATAACATACTAGGTATGTGTTAAATAGACTCTTTATGTTGTCAGTAAGGCTTCCAATCAGCAGTAGGCTATTAGTGGTTAAGGTTTGGGGGAGTCAAAAGTTATATTTGGCTTTTCAACTGTGCAGGGTATCAGCGCCCAAAACTGCCTCCCCAGTTCACACCTTTATCATTTCTCTTGGGATCATGTTGCTTCCCTCCCTCAGAACCATAAACGGCACCCCATTTCCCAAGGCTTGAGTTCTTTACTGAGGCCTATTAGGCCTTGAGGCCATGCTTTCCCATACCTCAGCAGTCAGCCCCAAAACAAATTGGTGGTTACTGGGTGGGGCCCTTGGTAGGGATCGATGGGCCCTCGCCTAGGTGAGCGCGGGCCGTGGCTACCAGAGATGCAGCTCTTCCCAAGCTGCCTCTGAGGCTCCGCCGTCTGGGGCAAGAGGTACTGGCAGAAGCCGACTCAGTCCTCTCACCAGCTCCCGCTGCTCACTTACTTGCCCTGGGGGGGATGAGGAAGAAGCAGAGCTTGAAGACCTGACTGAAGGTGTGGAAGGAAAGGCCTAGTCTTTGCCTCCTATCCGTTCCCGAGAGCCTCTGCTTTCCAAGCCTAGGCGATTCCCACAGGCTCCAAGGAGCCGGCATGGTGGGTGGGTGGAGTGCGAGCCTAGAAGCTGGGATCAATGGACCTGGCGTCTTCGGACAGCCCTTCACCCCTCTGAGCCAACCCCCTCATCTGTAGTAATACCATAGCCCATGGTAAGTGCCCGTCAGGAGATGGCTGTCATTATGAGGGGCTGGACCGAAATCTCCCCAGAACATCAGGCCTCCATTTAGTAAAGGAAGTGGGGCACTTAAAAGCATGAACTCTGAGCCTGGGTACAAATGCGAACTCTGCTCCTTCCTGGCTCAGCAACTTTGAGTGGATTTTAAAGCCTTTACATGCCTCTGTTTCCTCACTGTGGAACAGGAGGAAACCTACCTCATTGGGTTGCTGTAAGGAATAAATTATTAACGTGTATAAAGCACTTAGAACATTCCTAGCACATAAATAAGCACTTAGTGTCAGTTATTCTTCACTGTTACTACTGTTAACGGTAAAAACGTCTACCCATCAGGTCAAGGTTGTATAGATTGAACAAAGAATTCCTTAGTGCGATTGGGGGACCTTAAGGCTCCAGGAAGCCCTGACCCCTCAGCTAAATCCCTCTCTTGTGGAAGTTCTCAGAACTCCCTGGGGGTGGTTGGCTGGTGGCCCTCAGCCCGTAGCTACCACCTTAGCCCCTGATCTCCGTGCTCCCCAGGCATTGAGCCAAGGCTGGAGGCAGGCCGGCCCTGAGAGCCCTTGGCTTCTCTGATGACTGCATCAGGGTGGACACGGAGGGCGAGGCCCAGGCTGGGAGTCAGGAGGCCTGGTCCCACCCTGGCTCTGCAGTCCCTCGCTGCCTGACCTCAAATAGCAGGCCTCCTGTCTGAGCCTGACCTTCTCCAGCTAGAGATTGAGGGCATTACACCAGCCCATGGTTTCCTGAAGTGTGGTTCACCCGAGTGTGGTGCTCTTAGGGGGTACCCTGCAGATACTTTTTATTCCAATAGTTCTATGATTATTTTAGTGAGTATTAGGGGAAAAAACCTTCACAATCAGCACATAAACTTTGTGATTTCAAGGAAATGAGTGCTAAGGACTAGGAAAAAGCAAGGAAGTGAGTGAGTATGAAGAAAATAGTAGCTAAACAGTGTAAACGGTGCTCAGAAATGGCAGAAATTTTGCAAGAAGCAGGGTGCTAATGCTGCTGGTTGGGGACCGCTGAGGTGATTGATATCTAAGGTACCTACAGATCTGACATCTGTAAACTACTTAATCT